GTAAAGATAAAGAGAACAGTTCATGCTTTAGAGGGCTCACAACCAAACAGGCAGAGCCTACTGCCCGAAACAAATGCGGCGCGGGGTTTTTACGTGCTGTCAGCGCCAGGGCTCCGAGGAAGGTGGTCTTGGCACTGAGTGCTAAATGGTGCCACTCAGCCAAGACGCCGTCTGCAGGGTCAGCTTCCTGGAAGAAGCAGCCCAGAATCAATAAAACAGCTCGGGCTTGTGTGCGGCGCAGGCTGCGCGAGCCGTGGCCAGGTGGTCCGCGGCCGGAGGACGCCGGGCTGAGGGGTGGCGGTGGGCATCCCGTGTCCGCCCAGAGCAAGAGGCACAACTTTCTAATTCAGACGGAGGCGTCATCTGGGCTGGCACCGGCCTGCCACCGCTTTATAGCTATAAAGCTCTTTCACACGCGTATCTCATTGGATGCTCTCAGCAGCCACGGGCAGCAGGGCAAGGGGTGGGCATGCTCTGGCCCAGAGGAGCGCAGTGACGTGCTGAGGGCACAGGGCAAGGATGTGACAGAGCCAGGATGCCCGCGCCCCCCTGTCTACCGCGTGGACTGGAGCCGTGTTCTGACGCTGCCCTGCCGCACATCTCCGGGCAGCTAATGAATTGCTAATATAATTTTCTAGATAATTTTATTTTCATAGCCCCACGTTTTAATGTGTTTCCAAAAGCCAGCATTTATTTGCTTAATCTCCCAGTGTAATAGAATCTGCCCTGACTCATCATACATGCGGACAATCAGCTAGGCAGAAACTATAGCAAATTGGTTAATAACTCGGATCTGGTCTCGATTTTTAACTTGCCGCACCGACAGCTTTCCTGGTGTCTCCTCCACATCTCCCCTGCCCTTTCCTTTTTTCTTTTAAAATATTTTTTCATACTTTCAGCTGTTGGTGTCTAGACACAAGGCTGGGGAGAGTGCATGCGGGGCCTGAGAGCCCCCTGGTCTGTGTCTCTGGGCCTGGAGCAGTAGATCGGTGGCCAGAGAGAGCCCCACACCTTGCTGGATGTCCCAGGAAGCGGGTGGGGAGGCCCTGGGAGGGACTCCGCTGCGTTTTCTTCCTGGGTGGTGGCTGTATAATGTTACACCTGTGACCATGGTGCAGAGCTGGCCGTCTGGGCTTCAGGTGCACTGTGCCCCGGGTCCTGCCATGCCACCTCCTGGGCGTCATTCTTCCACTCCTGTCCTTGCAGCCCCTGCCCTGGTCTGGTTGCCACCCTCCTCTAGTGGGAGCACAAAAGCCGTCAGCTCTCTCCCTGCTCCAGCCACTTGCCTCGGCTGTTGGTCTCCAGGCCGCCCCCGGGGTAGTTGCCCTCACATACCGGAAGGATCATGCCAGCACCCCCAGCCTTCACAGCACTGCGTTGCCCTTAGGATAAAGTCTAATCTGTCCCCCCTCCATCCCCACCCCCAGGATGGCCCTCTGCCATCGGGCCCCCAGGAGCCTGCTCTTCTCTCTCCTCGGGGTCTGTCCTCTGTCCCCGCCTGCTCTGAAATTTGCTTGTGCTGTTTCCTTAGCCCAGTCCAGTGCCCCACCTCCTAGTCCTCGCTTCTCAGTACTCTTCACTTTTCAGAGCCATTGAGAAAGTCTCTCAGATCGCCTCAGAGCCTCTTGAGGCCGCCCTGCCTTGTCCCCGGGGTGCTTGTTGACTGGCGTCCCCCAATAGCCTGGGAGCCGTTCTCTGGTTGACCTCAGCATCTCCCTGGTCCAGCAGAGAGCCATGCCCGTGACTCGGCCCCAGCCACCCCTCCTGCCCACGTCCTGAGCACTGCTGGGCGAGCCCTGGGCGCATGCAGCTCCTGGCCCCGCGGGCTGGCGCTGGTGCTGCTGGTACTGCTTTGTCCTCCCGGAGAAGCCCAGGCAGGCGGCAGCCTCAGAGGTAGACACGGGCCCTGCCCTGTGGTTTCTGACACCAGACAGACCTCGGCATTTTTATACCTCGGCTCTGCCTTTCCCCCTGTGTGGCCTTAGGCAAGTTTTTCATCTCTGTTTTCCCATTTGTAAGAAGAAGATGCGAATGCCTGCCGTGGAGAGCAGCGAGTGTTAAATGAGGCAACACAGATAAAGCCTTGCCCAGTGCCAGATCAGTCCTTCCCTCTGCTCGTTGAGGCAGGAGCAAGTCCCTGCCGGCTTGTGCTGTCTCCCTGCTCAGCCTGGCCTGGTCCTGGGTGCAGGCAGCATGAGTTGAGCATGGCTGCAGGTGCCTCGTCTCCGAGTGTCTACACAGGTGGCTGTGGGGGTGGAGGACTATGGGGAGGGAGAGGTCTTGCCTTCCCATTAATCCATCCCAAACCAGCCATGAATGGGACGGAGGCAGGAGAACAGACCTCCTACTTGCCGTCCCCATTGGTGGACCAGAGAGGCAGCCAGGCTCGTTATGCGACCCGTCTCCACCCCACTTTCCACCAGGAGCCCCGATTCCACACTGAGCAGGCCACAGCCCTGGCAGCCAAAGCTCTGCCCCTTCTGCCCCTGGGGTTGGGTGGGCAGATGCCAGGCCTGCCCACCTTTTCCGCTCTGTCCTTCACACAGGGCTGAGCACCGGTGATACTGCCCAGATGCCATTAGAGCAGCGGTTCTCAACCTTCTGGCCCTTTAAAACAGTTCCTCAGGTTGTGACCCAACCATAAAATTATTTTCGTTGCTACTGCATAACTGTAATGTTGCTACTGGTATGAATCGTCATGTAAATATCTGATATGCAGGATGGTCTTAGGCGACCCCTGTGGAAGGGTCGTTCCACTGCCAAAGGGGTCGCGACCCACAGGTTGAGAACCGCTGCCTTAGAGGGAGGTGAGCAGATGGGCCTGCTGTAGGAGCTCCTGTGCTTATGGAAACGGAATCCAAAATGGTGGGCAGGGAGCCACCAGTTAGGACCCAGACGGGGGTTCGTAGCTTCCTCAGGGGCTGCTGCACCTGGAGAGGCCGTGGCTCAGAGCAGCACTGGGCAGGGGCTCAAACACACAGGAAGTGGCGGCCAGTCTCGGAGGGCACCGTGGGTGCCTGCGTACCTGTGCCCCGGGTCACACAGGAATGACTGGAGTGCGTTAAATGAAAATCTCATGTTCCCCATTAGCTTAAATCCTTTGCAAATTGCCCTTTCGTTTTGGGATGAAACCTAAGGCTCTTAATAGTGTTTTCAAGACCCCACACGGCCTGGCCCTGACTGTTGCTCTGGCTCCCCTCCCCTCTCCCTGCCTCCCAGCTGCCCCGCTCGTCTGTCTGGTCCTCCGGCCTGCGTGCTTCTCTCCAGCCTGGAGTGTTCACGCTACTATTGTGTCCTCCAGGAACGGTCTCCGCCACTCCCCCGTGTGCGGGGTGGCATCTGTGATGAGAGCAGGGGCTTTGTATCGTTTCCCATGGTGACAGCCCCAGTGCCCAAAAGAGGGTCCCGCCTGTGGAAGGCACTGGAATAGTCTTTGCTGAGTGAATGGACCCTTAAGACGGGTGCTTTAATGACTGGGGCATCGGGCTGATAGAAGCGGCATCGGAAGGGGAAGGGGACCCCCTCCCGGGCCCGGTGCACCGGCTCTGCCGCTCAGGATCTGCACGGAACTCGGGACGAGCGCTTCGCTCTCCCTGCGCCTCGCTTTCCTCATCTGAGGGGTGAGGGGGGAGCGCCTACGGTTTGGTGATGCGATTTTAAATTAGTTACAACTGAGCGATGGCTGGCAGATGTTATCTCCGTTACTGTTATCCTCACAGAGGCCACCCTGACACCCCACCTCCTGCCCCAGACTCCGCAAAGGCCCTCTGACAGATATGGTTCAGTACCGTGCCTTCGACAGCACTCCATACAACTGCCAGCCCCCATTTGCTACTGCGACGTGTTTCATCACTGCTGCTCTTTCTCCGCTCGACTTTGGGTGTCATGGTACCGGGAGGGAGTTGATTTTGTCCCACTGGATCACATACGGGGTGCTCCATCAACGTTGCTTGTCCTGGGCCGCCTCTGGGTTCGCCCCTGGGCGCGGGGGTTGAGGGCACCAGTCCTGATGCGGGACCTGGCGCTAGCCTGGATGGGTAGAAGATGGCCTTGCATTCCAGCTTCCTGAGGCTCTCCCGGCTCTGTCTCCCGCAGGCACAGACATGGCTGTCTTCTGTCTGCTGTGCGGGAAGCGTTTCCAGGCGCAGAGCGCCCTCCAGCAGCACATGGAGGTCCACGCGGGCGTGCGCAGCTACATCTGCAGCGAGTGCAACCGCACCTTCCCCAGCCACACCGCCCTCAAGCGCCACCTGCGCTCGCACACAGGTAGGCAGCCAGGTGATGGGTGGGCCAGGGTCTCGGGGAACCCGTGTCTGGTTTTACCTCCAGACACGTGAAGTGGAGGTGCTGGCAGAATTAGCCCCCAGCTCTTTGCTCAAGGATTGGGCTGGGGGTGGTTCCCACGGTGCAGGTAAATGCTGACGGTTCTCCCCACCCACCTTGGGGAACTTGAGTCTCCGTCTCTCTTTGCTCAACAGAGGGGGTGCTCGTTAGAGACGCAGTCTTGGGCCCCCTCTCTGAAACTTGGATTCGTTGTGTACGGCTGAGATGCAAGACTTCAACGTTGTCAATAAATACTCCCAAGGGATTCTCAGGCAGGTGGACCCAAAACACACTTTGAGAAAAACCTACCCGCTTGGTCTCTGGTTCTCTCTGCCACACACCCCTTCGCTCTCCCTGGCCCCCCGCCCCATGGACACATGTTCCCCTAGTCAGCCTTGGGCTCCGAGGGGAATGTTGCAGAAGTGGTCCCAATTGCTCCACAATAACAGAAGCCATTTCTATCCTGGGGCCTTAACCTTGTTTAGGGGAGTAAACGATGAGCCATGACAGGTCTCTGCTTAGCCAGGTCCAGACACCGGGGAGGGGAGGGGCTGTCCGTCAGCGAGGCTAGACCAGGTGCCACCACACTGTAGGTTTGGGGGTGGCATGCTTGGTCCCTGAGGGCCAAGAGCGTCTGCTTCCTTGCAACCGGATCCCATTGTAAGGGGATGGGTGACTCAAATTCTCTCCTTCCTCGAAGACAAAATCGGGTCCCTGCTGACCGTACTGGATAAAGGACTGCCCACGCCTCTGCTGTGTGTGTGCTCTGCTGGGTTTGGGAGAGGGCGGGGCCAGGGCGACAGGCAGGCAGGCTCTATATTGGGACGGGGTGTACGTTCATGTCTGTCGGACAGGGCACAAAAACTGTGCACACACAGGTGGTTGGGCACTTTCTCTTCTCACTCCCCAGTCTTGTCACAGCCCCAGGACTCCGTGTGCAGGCCAGGCCTTCCATGGCGACAGGCTCAGCGGAGCAGGGGAGGGGCTCTCTTTATCGTGGACTGAATATTTAATAATCTCCATAGGAGAGCTAGGTTTCATCCCAGAACTGAGTAGCCTGTCCTGCCAGCCGTGGGCTTGCTCCCCGAAGAGCCTGCCTGGGCCCTCGCTTTTGGATGCCACTCTGTTCGGGGGAGCATGTGGCCGGAGCATCACCACATTTGCTGGCACAGGACAGGGAGGTCCCAGAGAGTGGGGCCAGGCGAGAAGGGCTCAGGCGGAAGG